TTACTCCCTAAACATAAATCCCCCCTCCTCCCAGTACAAATCCTCCCCCAGCTGCAATCCCCCCTCCCAGCACAAATACCCCCAACACAAATGCTCCCCCATCAAATAAGAAAACCCCTCCTAGCACAAATCCTCCACCCCTCAAATTTCCCCTCCAAGTACACATCTTTTCCCGCACTCCAAATCCCCCCTCCCAGCACAAATTCCCCCAACACAAATGCCCCCCCCTCAAAAAAAGAGAACCCCTCCTAGCACAAATCCTCTACCCCTCAAATTTTCCATTCCAGCTACACATCGTCTACCCCACTCCAATTCCCCCCTCCCAGCACAAATTCCCCCCCAATACCCCCTCCTAGCACAAATCCTCTACCCCTCAAATTTCCCCTTCAAGTACACATCTTTTCCCCCACTCCAAATCCCCCCTCCCAGCACAAATTCCCCCAACACAAATGCCCCCCCCCCTCAAAAACAAACCCTCCTAGCACAAATCCTCTACCCCTCAAATTTCCATTCCAGCTACACACTTCTACCCCCCTCCAAATCCCCCCTCCATGCACACATTCCCCTCCAATACCCCCTCCTAGCAAAAATACCCTCAAAAAATGTTTCTCTCCTAGCACACTTAACCCACAATCATCCCTACAAATCCCCCCCCCCAAAAAAAATATATAATTCCCCTCCAAACACAATTTCCACCTCCTTGTCATATAACCTCTTCTAGTACACAACCCCCCAGATCTCTCCTTCTAGCAAAAATCCTCTTCCCCATCCCCCTCTGAACACAAATCCCCCTAAATCACCACACATAGCACCCCCCCCCCCAAAAAAAAATGTCCTCTCCTAGATCAATTCTTACCCCCTGCCTCCCCCAAATTCCCCCTCCTCCAGTTCGAGTCTCCAAAAAAAAAAACAATTTATACTCACCTAGGTGGATGCAGCATCGATCCGATTCTGCATCTGTACCCTTCTGCCTCTACACTGAGAACTGAATGATCAAATGACACTGATCGCTCAGTTCTCCCCCTCCGCTCTGAGCTCAGTTGCCTGGGAGCACGCTGAGATGCTGAACCAACTGCCAGTTCAGGCTTCTGGGCAGATCCTTACTATAAAGTTGGAAATGAACCAGAGCCTGGACTGGATGAGTGATGTCAGCTGTAGACATGTGTGGTTCATTTTGTTCCACATCGGAATTTAGGTGAATATTTCATGAGATTTCATCTGAAATTTTTAATCAAATTCAAAATCAAAAAACAAGAATAGAATAAAATATAATAGGAAATAAAAGAAAGAATAGAGTAAAAAAAGAATAGAAAAGAAAAAAATAGAAAAGAATGGAACAGAATAGAAAATAAAGAATAGATAAGAAAAAATAGAATAGAATATAGCCGCCCAAAATTTTGAATTTTAAAAAAAATATAACAGAATAGAATAGAATAGAGAAAATAATAGCATAAAATAGACTATAACTGTCTTTCAAATGGAATACATTTGAATAGAATAGATTAGAAAAGAGAAGAAAAGAAAAAAATAGAATAGAAAAAACAATAGAATAGAATAGAACCATCTTCCGAAAATGCATCATTCGAATGGAATAAATTTTAATTTGAATAGACTAGAAAAGAAAAGGATAGAAAAAAAGCAATAGAGCAAATTAAAAAACGAATTTAACCGTCTTCAGAAACTCAAATTTCAAATAGAAAAATTTGGGAACTTTCGATTTAACTGAATTTAAATAAATTCAACTGAATTTGGAAAATTCGAATCGAATTCAAATAAACGAAATGAAACAAATTCTGAATATGAATTAACCGCTTCCTGACTGCCCTATAGCAGAACTACTGCTACAGGGCTGCAAAAAATCTTGTATATATATACGTGATTTTAGCATTTCCGGGTCGGGGGGCACGCGCATGCACCCGTGTTGCCATTGGCGGCTACAGATGTCGATCACCGGGTCCCGGCTGGAGATTCCCCGCTGGCACCCAGCGATTGCCAAGGATCACTGACGGGGGAGAGGCCTGTGTGTAAACAATACAGATCTCTCTCTGCCAGCAGTACCATGCTGCTGTGTATTTCTCTGCACAACAGAGAACTCTCCCAGTGACCCATCCCATGCTTGCTATGGGATTCAGGAAATGCACTCTCTCTCTCTCTCCAACCTCTGCACTTGCCCTCTTCTCCAGGGGCCCCTCTACACACTCTTTTATAACTCCAGGCTGGATCCCTAGGTGCTCTGTGCCAGAGGTCCAGTCCCAAAGAGTGGAGAACCAGCTGCTAGTGGAGGTGCCAAGCACTTAACGTCTCCACTAGCAGAGAAATCATCATCCCTGCCAGTCACCCATCTCCTGGCTGGTTGGCTGCTTTGCATGTGACACAATTACTGTAGCCCTTAGCAATGACATTAACTCCTACTGACCAGTACTCTGCGTATTAGACCCATGTATTGCATCTTCCTCTAGCTCAGTCCCCTTGTTGTGTTGCAAGCCCTGTTCTTTTTTGTTTTTGTGCTTGTTATAAGTCAGCAGCTACAAATACTGCTCACCCGTACCATCCTTTCACGTCCCAGTTCCGGCATCTCAACTGTGGGCACTGCGGGTGTTCCCCGCTCATGCCCAAGTCACGCTATGCCTCCTGAATGGTCTAGCAGTATTCTGGGACCTGAAGTGTCCCAGAAGTCTGTTGGGGGAAGGACGGGGGGGGCGAACTTCTGGCTCAGTGATTCGTGGCAAACTGAGCAGGAAGTGGGAGAGTGGGAGCGGGTACCTGTCAAAACTAGGTACCCCCCTCCCCCGAAAAAGTGTCAAATGTGGCAGGAGGGGGGCAGACAAACAGAACTTCCCCTTTTGGGTGGAACTCCATTTTAAGAGATTTCAGACCAGTCAAAGCAGGAAAACGATCAAAATCCTTTACTGAGGTCGTTGCTGAAATCAGTACAGTTCTCACAGAGCAGTTTCAACACAATTCCTGTACAGAGCTCTTCTAACAAATCCATCAGGAAAAATGAAGGAGGAGCGGCTGCAGGGCTGCTGTTAGAAGCCATGGGGCCCCATACATCCAACCTGACAGGGCCCCCCTTCTAAAAAGTTTAATATGTCTCAGTTATGAATGAACACAGTGAGTGATCAGTACTGATCACTCACTGTGTTCATTTAGAAAAAGGAAGGGCTGCTAAATGTGACATATTTCCCCCACTCTCCATCCTGAAGGATCCTATTGTGTGCTTGCAGCTGCCTGTGGAGAGGAGAGGAGGGAAGCCGGCACACTGGAGTGGTGGGAGCACACAAGGGGGCCTGGGCAGTAGAGGGAAATGGTGCACAGGGAGGGTGATGGGTGCACCGGGGGGCAATTACTGGAACCGACCCCCTGTATGGCTCTCTCTGCAGAAGCTGAAAGCCAGCGGGAGGAAGAGGAGAAGCAGTCAGCTTTCAGCTGCTGCAGAGGGCCATACAGGGATCAGTTACAGTAAACACCCCCCCCCACCATGCCAATCACCCTCCCTGCCCACATCTGATTCACCAAGCTGCCTGGGCTCCCCTGCTGGCCTGGGCCCCATGCAGTAGGACTAGAATGGGTTTACTGCCCTGCTCCCATTCTCCGCTCCCTTGCTCCGCTGTGCCCAGGATAGCTTCCCACCCCTTGTCCCAGCCCTCTCTACACCCCATCATCCAGATGCACATCCAGAACCGCTGGTCTATAGCCAGTACCGGGACAGGTTCGTTTAGCACCTAGAGGAAGGATGCAGCAACTGCGCCCCTTCCTCACTATTAATGCATGTCATAGAATGGGTTTACTGCCCTGTATCCATTGTCCGCTCCCTTGTTCCTCTGTGCCCAGGGCAGCTGCCCCTCCTGCCCACCCCTTGTCCCGGCCCTGTTTACACCCCATCATCCAGATGCACATCAGAACCGCTGGCCTATAGCCAGTACTGGGACAGGTTCATTTAGCACCTAGAGGAAGGATGCAGCAACTGCGCCCCTTCCTCACTATTAATGCATGTCATAGAATGGGTTTACTGACCTGTATCTATTCTCCGCTCCCTTGCTCCTCTCTGCCCAGGGCATCTGCCCCTCCTGCCCACCCCTTGTCCCGGCCCTGTTTATACCCCATCAACCAGATGCACATCCAGAACCGCTGGTCTATAGCCAGTCCCGGGACAGGTTTATTTAGCACCCAGAGCAAGGATGCAGGACTGCGCCCCTTCCTCACTATTAATGCATGTCATAGAACAGGTGTTCTGCCCTGTATCCATTGTCCGCTCCCTTGTTCCTCTGTGCCCAGGGCAGCTGCCCCCCCTGCCCCCCCCCCTTGTCCCAGCTCTGTCTACACCCCATCATCCAGATGCACATCCAGAACCGCTGGTCTATAGCCAGTACCGGGACAGGTTCATTTAGCACCCAGATCAAGGATGCAGGACTGCGTCCCTTCCTCACTATTAATGCAATGCCCTGTATCCATTCTCCGATCCCTTGCTCCTCTGTGCCAAGGGCAGTTGACCCTCCTGCCCACCCCTTGTCCCGGCCCTGTCTATAGTGCAAATCAGGGGCGGATTGACCTTTTGGGAACTCGGGCACTGCCCGAGTTCCGGGGTCAGTAGGGGGCCCCAAGAGATGCCCCTGGTACCTTTTCATAGGCTTTTTTGGGTGTGGTTTGAGTGTGGGCGAGGACACAGGGGCCCCATCATCCCGTTGCCCGGGGCCCCCATGAGTTGTCAGTCTACCCCTGGTGCAAATACTGCCTAATAATATAGAACCATTTATTCCAAACTGTATACAGCTGTTTCAGGCCTTTTAACCATCATCAGTGCAGTGGCTTTTATCTATAGGGTGGATACTGGGACCCAACGAGACAGGATAATAACCACACAGGTTGCGGTGAGAAGGGGCTAAAACAAATGAGCCATAAAAAATGTAGTTGTATTGTTTGTCCACTAGATGCCGCTGTGGTAGTCAGAACGTTTCTTCCATAGGAACCTTTGTTCAGAGCCTCATTTCCAGCCCGGTGACTGTCCTCAAACTGAAGTTTCAATCACATTGGAAGGTGAGCAGCTGTTCTACATTGTGTCTGTATGGACCTATCGTTTCCTGCATGTGCAGCGTCATAGTTTGTGAGAACTACAATCCCCAGCATGCTATGCTAGCAACTGTGGGGCCTGTAACTCCCTAATCGCTGCAAAGCCGCATAACTTTGCTATTTAAAGCTGACCTCCAGGCGAATCAAGCCGAACACACGGACGAAATACAAATATTGTGGTGGTTTTACCCGCTAAAAGATTTGTATCTCTGTCCATCCAGTCCTGAGATTTACACAGCTCTGCCACACAGCACAGCACTGTCTGGCAGGGCAGGAGAGCTGATGCTTCTCTGCTGTGTTCTGCTACCGAATGCACATTAATTACACAGGTTCTGTGGCTGATCAACCACTTGCCCTCCAGAGGATTTATCCCCTTTCCAGGCCATTTTTTGCATTACGGTGGCGTTTTACTTTAACTGATAATTGTGCTGTCATGCAACGCTGCACCCAAATGAAATTTATGTCCTTTTTTTCCCCACAAATAGAGCTTTCTTTTGGTGGTATTTGATCACCTCTGCATTTTTAATTAATAGCACATATCTGAAGGTGATGCAGGGGGATCCTTGCACTGCAGATCCTCAGGTACAGCTCTAACCTTTTATTGCCACCTGTGGTCCATTAGGGAAAGTTCCCTTTTCAGATCACAGATCTACAGATAGAATGAAGCAGAACCAAGAAGATCTTTGCAAGGCAAGTTATCAGGTACAGTTTCCTCACCAACAAGGAAAACAGTAAGTAGCACAGTAGTGGCATCATCTGATAATTGGTGGGGTAATGATAAAGGCAGAGTAAGCACAGATACACAGAATGGATGGATGAAGCAGAAGCAGGGAGGTCCTTGAACTGCAAGTCCTCAGGTACAGCTTCTCCTCCAGCAAGGAAACTAGTGATCAGTACAGTAGTGGCATCATCTGATGACTGTTGAGTTAATGAGAGAGGTAGAGCAAGCACATATCAACAGAATGGATGAAGGTGATGCAGGGAGATCTTTGCACTGCACATCCTCAGGTACAGCTTCCCCTCCAGCAAGGAAACTAGCAATCAGTACAGTAGTGGCATCATCTGATGACTGTTGAGGTAATGAGAGAGGTAGAGCAAGCACTTATCAACAGAATGGATGAAGGTGATGCAGGGAGATCCTTGCACTGCAGATCCTCAGGTACAGCTTTAACTTTTTTGCCATCTGTGGTCTATTGGGGAGATTTCCCTTCACAGATCACAGATCTACAGATAAAATGATGCAGAAACAGAAAGATCTTTGCAAGGCAGGTTGTCAGGTACAACTTCCTTACCAGCAAGGTGAACAGAGAGCAGCACAGTAATAACATTATCTGATAACTTGTGGGGTAATAAAAGAGGTAGAGCAAGCACAGATCCACAGAATAGATGGATGAAGCAGATGCAGGGAGATCCTTGCACTGCAAGTGCTCAGGTACAGCTTCCCCTCCAGCAAGGAAACTAGTGATCAGTACAGTAGTGGCATCATCTGATGTCTGGTGAGTTAATGAGAGAGGTAGAGCAAGCACATATCAACAGAATGGATGAAGGAGATGCAGGAAGATAAGATCCTTGCACTGCACATCCTCAGGTACAGCTTTAACTTTTTTGCCACCTGTGAGCTTCCCCCTCCAGCAAGGAAACTACTGATCAATAGAGTAGTGGCATCATCTGATGACTGGTGAGGTAAAAGATAGAGGTGGTGGAAGCACAGATCAATAGAAAAAAATGAAACAGGTGCAGGGAGATCCTTGCACTGCATATCCTCAAGTACAGCTTCCCCTCCAGCAAGGAGAACAGTGACCAGCACAGTAGTGGCATCATCTGATAACTAGAGAGGTAATGATAGACGTGGAGCAAGCACAGATCCACAGAAAAAATGAAGCAGGTGCAAGGAGATCCTTGCACTGCAGATGCTAAGGTACAGCTTTCCCTCCAGCAAGCAGAAAAGTGAGCAGCACAGTAGTGACACTAGTGGTCAGAGGCAGCAGCGTCTTAGCTGATCTCAAACTGAAGATCTACAGCTACGAGGCTACAGACCAGGAGTGCCTAGGCACAGGAATTGCTGTGCTATATTTCATGAGGAATCGAAAACAAAAAGTAAATCTTTCAGGGTACTGTATAGGCACAATGAACAGTTCAAGATGTTCCCTTCCCTTCGGTTCACTTTAAGTCAGGGTATTCATTTTCATAAGCAGGGCTCATCATAAAGTAACAACTGTTTAACTAGTTGGTTAACAATTGCTACTTATAAATGGGTGAGCTTTGCTGTAGGTGTATGCAGTGCTGTCCTGTGATAACAACAACAGAGTCTAAGACTGCCATGGACTCTTCTGTAGGGTCAGTACCTGAGGTAAGTGGTCTAGAGGCATTCTAATCCTTTGAAGATGTGTTGTATATTTATTTATTTCAGGTACTTACTGTATATAGCGCCGTCAATTTACACAACGATTTACATATATATTGTACATTCACATCAGTCCCTAACCCTCAAGGGGTGTACAATCTAAGGTCCCTAACCCTCAAGGGGTTACTAATCTAAGGTCCCTAACCCTCAAGGGGCGTCAATCTAAGGCCCTCAACCTCAAGGGTTGAGGCTAAGTAACCCTCAAGGGGCAATCTAAGGTCCCTAACCCTCAAGGGGAGTACAATCTAAGGTCCCTAACCCTCAAGGGGCGTACAATCTAAGGTCCCTAACCCTCAAGGGGCGTACAATCTAATCCCTAACCCTCAAGGGGCGTACAATAACCCTAACCTCCAGGGGCGTACAATCTAAGGTCCCTAACCCTCAAGGGGCGTACAATCTAAGGTCCCTAACCCTCAAGGGGCGTACAATCTAAGGTCCCTAACCCTCAAGGGGTGTACAATCTAAGGTCCCTAACCCTCAAGGGGCGTACAATCTAAGGTCCCTAACCCTCAAGGGGTGTACAATCTAAGGTCCCTAACCCTCAAGGGGTGTACAATCTAAGGCCCCTAACCTCAAGGGGCGTACAATCTAAGGCCCCTAACCCTCAAGGGGCGTACAATCTAAGGTCCCTAACTCACATTCATACATACACATACTAGGGCCAATTTAGACAGGAGCCAATTAACCTACCAGCATGTCTTTGGAGTGTGGGAGGAAACCGGTGCACACCCAGAGGAAACCACATAGACACAGGGAGAGCATGCAAACTCCAGGCAGGTGGTGCCGTGGTTGGGATTCGAACCATCGACCCTAGTGCTGCCAGTCGGAAGTGCTAACCATTTAGCCACTGTGCTGCCCCAGTATAGATATTGCTTCTGAAATTGAGAAGCTGGGAAAGCCTAAGGCTACATTCACACTAGCCTTGTTAGCAAGCGGCAGGCAGGCATTTGGGAAGTGTTTTTTACCGTTTCCCAAACGCCTGTGAAAATTCTGCATATTGCAGCACATGGTGCTGTTTACACGGGAGTGTTAGTTGCACACGGAAAATGAACGCCTCTGGTCCAGGGGCGGACTGACAAACTCATGGGGCGTTAGGGTCATGGGCGTGTCCTTGCCCAAAAAAAAGCCTATGAAAAAGGTACCAAGGGGCATCTCATGGGGCCCCTACAGACCCGGGGCCTCGGGCAGTGCGCGAGTTCCAAATGGTCAGTCCGCCCCTGCTCTGGTCGAGTGAGGAGGAATTGAAGCCTGCTAGTCCATTCTAGTCTAAACGCCCGGCCGGCGTTTGCGGTGCTCGACGCGGTTGCAGGGCATTTGCGGAGCGTTAACACCATTCAAACTTCATTATAGGGATTTGTGGGGCGTTTTTAATGCTTGGCAAATGCCTAGGAACGGCCGCTAAACCGCGGACGCGGCGTTTGCGGAGCGTTAAAAAACACACTCCGCAAACGCCAGGCCAACGCTTGTCAAACGCTATAGGGGCGTTTGGCAAGAGTTGGAAAAACAGTCAAGTGTGAACGAGCCCTAAAGTTGAAGTAGATCTACTTTTTTTTTTACCGCCTGCTGCAGTCACATAATTGTCCTGCCGTTTAGAATATCCCATGTCCTTCTTGAAGAAATCTTCTTTTCTGTGATGCCCGGTCCTCTTCACAGCTCTGAACGTCCAGCACTGCTGCGGCTAATAGCATTGGGCATATTTGAAAGTAAGGAGCGAAGAGCCGGCAACTCGTCCTTCTGAAGAATTACTTTATTACATCGAGTAGAGTGAACAGGTAAGACTGGCTTACGCGTTTCGGCAATACGCCATGTGGCTTTGATGAAGACTTATTGCTGAAACACGTAACAAAGTTTTACCTGTTCACTCTACTCGATGTAATAAAGTCATTCTTTGGAAGGACAAGTTGCCGGCTCTTCATTCCTTATTTTCTAGTTGCTAAAAGAAAAACAAATGCGGCCGTCACATCTAAGAATTGGTAAGCTGCAAAATAATAAATGTTGGCTTTTGGCTTTAAATGTATCTAAACCTCAGAAATTTGTAATCTATTACAGTTTTTCCAGTCTGTAGGGTGACAACACTGACTCACTGTGCCATATCAATGAAGCAGCAGCGTTGTCACCCTAGGACAGAAAATTTATTAGGACTACTGAACACCCTCCTTCCCAATCATATCACTACAGCATAAAGGGGAGGTGTTCTGTAGTCCACAGACTATACTCATCACTTTATATTGACCCATGTCTCTATGGTTTGTTTCACAGGAGGCCTCTGATATGGTTTGTCTGCATGTCTTACGGACTCTCCTCCCCGCTACGGCCCGAAGTTTGATCCGTCACAACAAAATCGGCATCCGCAACACCTCAGGCATGTCTGCTGGTAAGAGCTGGTATTTGTTCTGAGCGATCTTCTCGCCCCTCCAGAAGATTCCCCCCCCCCCCCTTCCTGACCAGGCCATTTTTTGCGTTATGGAGCTGCGTTACTTTAAATCTGACAATTGCCGCGGTCATGCAACGCTGCACCCAAATTAAATTTACGTCCTTTTCTTCCCCACAAATAGAGATCACCTGTGTGTTTTTTATTTTTTGCACTATAAACAAAAAAAAACACAGACAATTTTGATTTAAAAAAACAATATTTTTGACTTTTTGCTATAAAAACATACAGTATAAAAAATTTACAAAATCTAATTTCCTCATAAATTTAGGCCAAAATAATAGTATTCTGCTCCGTGTCTTTGCTAAAAAAAAATACCAATACGTGTAAATTAATTGGTTTTACATGAAAGTTATAGCGTTTACAAATGGCGGTATATATACTGGAATTTTTTTTTACTAGGAGATAAGTGTGACGGGAGTCACTTTGGGTGGGGGGCCCATGGAAACTCCACAGCTCACATTTGAGAGACGGGTGGGGAGACCCGCCTGTCTCAGCTCCCCATATCCCTATAATTATGTGTAAGTCACCTGTGCCTGGTAGGGCCTCGTACAGGGTGATCTGTCCTAATTTTGGGGGTGGAGGGTTGTTGATTGTTTTATGCCATGTGGTTGCCCATCCCATCCATTTTTCTATTTTGTGTGTCTAGCTTGGGAGCAAACTCATTTTGGGATGTATGTGTTTGTTTGTATTGGCTTGGTGTGGGGGGGGTGTATCTCAGCGGGCCCTCCCTCCTGATGGGACTGTCTGCTGGTGTGAAGTTTGAATACATGTGTGTCTCCTTGTTGCTGGGTGTAGTAGATTGCCCGCTCCTGTGTCCTTGTTGCAGGGAGGGCGGACTGCCCCCTGGGTGTATATGTCTTGTATCTATATATTCAAATAAAGTAGTCTAACTTCCTGGTTTACTTCAACGATGGTGTCGTCTAGTCTTGTGTGGTCAGATGTGGTGTCTGTTGTCGGTGTTCGAAGGGACGGGGCTAAGTCTATGGTAGTCTAACAGAAATACCCAACAGTCTGGGGTCAGTTCAGGTTCACAATAAGTACAGTGCCATAGCTGTAAACTTCCTGACAATGTTGCGCACAGTGGCACACAGGGAACATTAAGATCTCTCAGGAGCGATGTATCCTTTGGATTGTCCATGCTTTCCCACAATTTTTGTGTTCTCAAATCCTCAGACAATTATTTTGCCACTGCTCTTTCTCTTCTCCATGCTCCATGTGGCACACAGAGACACACAACAGAAAGGTTGAGTCCATTTTTCACCATTTTAACTGGTTGCCGGTTCAGTGATTTCCTTGTCAATTGTTAATTGCTACAGGTGAGTTTAATTTACAAATTACAGGAAACATCACAAAACTTGGAATACAATTATTTCTTATAATTTTGAGAAGGCGCCAATAATTTTGTCCAGTCCATTTTTGGGGTTTGTGTGGAATGTGTCAGATTTGGCTTTTTGTTTCTTCACTTTTTTGTGTCATACCAATACAAACCCGAGAATGCCGAAACATTTGTAATTGCAACAATTTTCTGGTCGAAGTGGTGCGTTATCTGATAGAAAATGCAGCAGGGGTGACGATTTTTTTTGGCCATGACTGTATTATGGCAGACATGTGGTTGGTTGCTCAGTTATAGCTCCTCTCCTGCTGCAGTATGCACCAGGGGAGGACTGACAACCTCATGGGGCCCCCGGGCAATAGGGGATCATGGGGCCCCTGTGTCCTTGCCCAAACTCAAAAAACCTATGAAAAAAGCTACCAGGGGCATCTCATGGGGCCGCCTACTGACCCCGGGCCCTCGGGCAGTGCCGGTCGTTTCCAAATGGTCAGTCACTCTGCCCTGGGGTATGCACACACGTGGTGTCATGGTGGCCTCGCTGGAACAGATCACAAGTGGTGAGAAGGGAGTGAACTTTGACTTACTATCCTTTGGTAAATAATTACAAGACACACAGGCAGAGTCCCAATGATCAGTAGAGCGTTCACTACCCTACAGAGCTGCTTCCATCTCCTACCGATGAATCATGGGCTTTTATGTAGGAACCGCTCCAGTGGGTGGATGTGGAAATAAAAATGGAAGTTTATGCATTTCAATGATTCAGGTTGATATAAATAGAGCGATCTAGTCTCCGTGTTAGGCCCCTTCCCACCTCATGTTTTGTTGGTGATTATAAATGTATATATGGAACGTTTAGTGTTTTTGCAAATACTATATATTATTTTACTATGGTTAGGGCTAAAAAAATAAAAAATATCAAATATTGTATATAACATAATTGTGTCCTTCTGAAAAAAGTAAAAAAAAAACCATACCCAAGCGCTCAAGTCCGTTGCGCCCTCCCAGAATCACAGTAAACCGACACTTGTTGGGGTGCAGCCCTCTAATCGGGGAATCTTGAAAATACTAGAAGAAAAGCAAAGAAGGGGTGCACTCTCTCTCCGTGCATTTCCGTGATGAAAGGAAATTTATTTAAAATGACAAAAATGGATATCACAAACAAAGGTTCATAAAACAATGCTGAAAATCAGCTAGGGCACCCAGCGGGTTTAATCTGACAATGGCGTATGAGCTAACGCGTTTTCATGAGACATACTCCCTTCTTCCAGAGCTAGAGCAACAATGTACAAAGAGGCGACTTATATAGAGGAATCATTGTGTGTAACGGGAACCAGACCTGTCTGCGGGCTTTTTTTTTTTCCCTGTCCGAACACAGATCCAAAAAACGGACACCACCGCTGACCACACAAGACTACAGGGCACAAGTCTGTATAAAACATGGAACTCATTTATTTGAAACTCGAAACTGGCTTTTTATACACTCAAGGGACAAATCCCCCTCCCTGCATAATGACACAGGGCGGGGGCAATCTAAACTTTGTGTCAGAGATGCGGGTGTTGATGTGACCAGAGATGTGTGGACTGACACAGGGAAACACAGGCTCCAGATATGGTATCAAACAAGACACATTTTATTAAGACTAACATCTACAAACACTAAATCTATGTGCAGTGCACCAAAACCCCAAGCTAACACAAATACATACAACAAGGTGAAACAAACGCCAAACCTAAACTGATACAGATACACAGGTAACATACACATATAGAGCACAGACGTAGTCAGGACAGGCCGGGTCGATAACTATCGGGCCAGGTAGGTACAGGAGGAGCAGGCGGAGAGTAGTCAGGTCACGAGCCGGGTACAGCAACTAACGGCACAGGTAGGTACAGGGGTCAGGCAGAGAAATAGGTCGGGCGTCACAAGCCAGGGATCAAACAGGAGAAACGTCAGCAGAGGTCAGGATTAGTGAGCAGGGTCGGCAAAAAGTCAGGCAGAATCAAGGAATCAGGAACAGGAATGCAGGTTACAAGGTACAGGGGCCCATGGAAAAACACACACCAAGGGCACAGACTGCAGGTCTGGCCATCCATTAAATACACCACCTAGCAATCAGCCCCAGGTGATGGCTAATTGCTGAAGTGTGAACCTCTGGATGTTGAGAGCACCCGCTGGGCCAGCCCTGGTACTGCAGCCCACAAGGCAGGTGAGTCCACCACTATTGGCAAGTCCATTCCTGGACACTTAGCAACAAGAGATCACACACCAACAGAAAGTTCCCATTTTCAGGAGGGCCTGCTGAAAACACCCCCCACCAACGACAATACACAAACATAACATCCAATAATAGTTTGCTCCCAAGTGCAAGACACAATAGAACAATGGGACCACATTGCAGTAAACAATGAACAACCCTCACACCCCACCTATACATTGTCTACACAATAGCACAAGATACATTTCACCCTGTAACAAGCACAGGGTTGCTTACACATAAGAGGGATATGGGGAGCTGAGACAAGGGGGTCTCCCCACCTCTCCAAAAGGGGGTTGTTGTTCCATGGGCCCCCCCCCACCCAATGTGACTCCCCGTCACATTGTGTGTCTTTGCTATCACACAGAGGATAGCTGCTTTTGTCTCCTCTGTTGTAAAAAATCCTATTGTATAGAGTTTCTATCATAGCTCAAGCTGATATGTGCAAACACAAGATCTATGTGTGAAAAGCAGAGATTCCTCTCATATCGGGCAGAGCACCATCCAAGGATTCATTCAGAGAGAGCAGCCTCCCAGGATCACAGTAACCCGACACTTGTTGGGGTGCGGCCCTCTAAAGATCGGGGGAATCTTGAAAATACTAGAAGAAAGCAATTAAGGGTTTGCACTCTCCTCACGTGCATTAAAAGTGATAAAAGGAAAATTTATTTTAAAATGACAAAAACATGGATACTCACAAACCAAGGTTATAAACAAGCTGAAAAAGCAGTAGGACAGTCCGACACAGCGGTAATCTGACAATGGGGTATGCTAACAGTGTTTTGGGAGACATACTTCCTTCTTCAGCTTCAGAGCTAGAGCAACTCTGTACAAAGAGCCGACTTATATAGAGGAATCATTGTGTGCCTTCTGCTATCATGACCAGAGCAGTGCGTGGGCAACCTTTTTTTCAACTGAGCCAAATCTCGCCAAAACCACACGATTGAAATTTATTTTGAGAGCCACATTTTTAAAACTGAAAATACATCCCCCATATAGTAATTCGATCCCCCATAAGTAATTCATCCCCCATATAGTAATTCATCCCCCATAATAGTAATTCATCCCCATAGTAATTCATCCCCCCATATAGGTTAATTCAACCCCCCTATAGTAATTCATCCCCCATATAGCTAATTTTTTTTCATCTCCCATATAGTAATTCATCCCCCATATTAGTAATTCATCCCCCATAGTAATTCATCCCCCCATTAAGTAATTCATCCCCCATATAGTAAAATCTCATCCCCCTTATTAGTAATTCAATCCCCCATTTATAGTTTAATTCATATCCCCAATAGTTATTCATCCCCCATAGTAATCCTCCCCATATAGTAATTCATCCCCCATATAGTAATTTCATCCCCCATAGTAATTCATCCCCCATATAGTAATTTTCATCCCCCCTAATAGTAATTCATCCCCCCATTATAGTAATTCATTCCTATATCCATCACCCATAATAGTAATTTTATCCCCAATTATAGTAATTCATCCCACCATAGTAATTCATCCCCCATATAGTAATTTCATCTTACCCTCCATATAGTAATTCATCCCCCATATAGTAATTCATCCCCCATAGTTAATTCATCCCCCCATAGTAATTCATCCCCATAGTAATTCATCCCCCATATAGTAATTTCATCCCCCATAGTAATTCATCCCCCCTATAGTAATTCATCCCCCTATAGTAGTTCATCCCCCATATAGTAATTTCATATCCCCCATAGTAATTCATCCCCCATATAGTAATTCATCCCCATATAGTAATTCATCCCCCTTATAGTAATTTCATCCCCCATAGTAATTCATCCCCCCTTAGTAATTCATCCCCTCATATAGTAATACATCCCCCATATAGTAAATTCATCACCCCATATAGTAATTCATCCCCTACATATAGTAGTTCATCCCCATATAGTAATTCATCCCCCCTTATAGTAATTCATCCCCCATATAGTAATTCATCCCCCCTTATAGTAAATTCATTCCCCCATATTGTGTCAATTCACTTACCTTTGCTCCGCGCGTTCCTCTCGCCGTGTTTCCCGCGCCGTTTCCGGTCTTCAGGGCGGACTGTGAGAGGAGAGGATTTCGTCACGCTGCCCCGCCTACATCCTGACAGCCAATGTTTGCCATGCTCCGCGGGCCGGATTAAAAGGTCCGTAGTTTGCCCATTGTTTGCCCATTGCTGGGCTAGCTGCAGAGTCCTGACTTTTGGGGCGGCGCGCCGAGAGGAGGGAGGGGAGCGGGAGCTCGGGCACACAGAAGAGCCGCATTAAAGTGTGCAAAGAGCCACATGTGGCTCGCGAGCACTGTACCAGAGGATGCAGCTTTGGTCTCCTCTGTTGTAAAAAATCCTATTGTATAGAGTTTCTGTAGCTCAAGCTGATATGTGGAAGCACAAGTCTATGTGTGAAAGCAGAGATTCCTCTCATATCGGGCAGCACCATCCAAGGTTTCATTCAGAGACAGCCAGCCCCAGTGCAGGCAGGTGCTGCTATGGCATCTCCTTAGATTACCAGTAGGGCTCTGGAAATCCTTGCTCATGTATTGCATGTTTATTTGTAAACCAGGAATTGTACACATAGAGTAGAAAAAAAACTCAACTTGTATAAACTTAAAAATGTAAAAAGGTACCCAAGTCATTATAGTTTTCCTTTAACTTTTTCATAACTAGAGTTCACAGGGGGCCCAAACCAAATTTTGCAAATAACTCCATGATCATTTTGTATACCTTTTTCCTCTCTGTCACAGCTGACACTAAATTCAGCGGGGTTGAGGAACTGGCATTACTTTTTTGGTCATGTTACAGTACATGGGGGTTATCCACAGTGCTCCTAGCCTAGTGCATTGCTATACTGGATGAGGTCACAGTCTCCCCCATACTCAGAAGAGAAGGGGAGCATCACTGGCTGCACAGGAAGGGGTTTCGAGAGGGTCAGGGGGCCCATTAAAGAGGCACTGTCACTTCGTTCTGCGTGGACAAGGTGACTAAGCTCAAGATTAGTATCTGTTATTATCAGTTTTTAGGAACAGAACGCTGGTGCCGCTAGTCCAGGGGGGCGCCAGTTATTAATTCCTAAACTAATAAGGTGGGTGTGGCGGAAGGAATCCTTTCCCTCCCGGGTTGATTCTGTCCTGGTTTACCAGGTTTGTTCGGGGTGAAGGAAGGACTCTCACTAATGCCTTTCTAGAAGGAATGGGGGCTGCATTTGTCTGGCTCGGGGCTGGAAGGTGCAAGGAGCACCAGGTGATGTGCCCCCTGGGGGAAAACACTATGGGTTTGGGACCCTATTGAATTATTTGGAAAAATACTATATATAACTTTACGATGTATTGCTTGAAGGATCCTTTGTTTGGCTTGAACAACACAAGACTATATATTGTCTTTTAGAAGGCTGTGTTTGATGATCTGCCTGCTGTAGGCTTCTGATTTAAGCTGATATTTATTGTATCTCATCCTCAGAAGTGGAGTCAGAAGTTTTTTTCTTTGTTGTAGGCTATAACCAAGCCAATGTGGTAATCCTGCACAGATCACTGGCTGACGATTTTGAAAAGTTCTGCCGAGCCAACAGTGGCCCCCTTCCCCTGTTATATCGCAGTGCCCCGGGTGAATGGAAGTGTCCGCCGCTGAGCACTGAGTCAGATATACGGTAAGCGTAAAAGGACATTTGTCTGCTGTGCTTCTTTAACCCCCTCCTGACTGCAATCTGCATATCAATGGTCCCCACCATTACATTACATTATTACATTACATTGAGTTTATATAGCGCCAAAGGGTTTGCTCAGCGCTGTACAATAGAGGGGGGGACAATACATGAAACATTACAGCAGCTACGAACAGCACACGAGGGGTAAGAGGGCCCTACTCTTTCGAGCGTACAATCTGGGAGGGAGGGGGTAGTGGTACAGGAGGAAGTGGCTGTGGGGGATGGAGTGGTAGGAGGAATGAAGGAGAGCAGCAGTTAGGTGAGGGTGGGGTAGGCTTCCCTGAAGAGGTGGGTTTTCAGGGAGCGCCTGAAGGTGAGGAGGGAAGGTGACAGTCTGATGGATTGGGGTAGTGAGTTCCAGAGGATGGGGGAGGACCTGGAGAAGTCTTGCAGACGTGCGTGTGAGGAGGAGACCAGGGAGCAAGATAGAAGGAGGTCCTGTGAAGAGCGAAGGGTACGGGTAGGGTGGTACTTGGGAATCAGGTCGGTGAGGTAGTTAGGGGCAGTGTTGTGAATGGCTTTGTAGGTCAGAGTGAGTAGTTTGAATTTGATGCGTTGGGCGATAGGGAGCCAGTGGAGGGAGAGGCAGAGGGGGGTGGCAGAGGTGGAGCGGGTGGTGAGGTGGATGAGTCTGGCCGCTGAGTTGAGGATGGCCTGAAGCGGGGAGAGTTTTTGCACTGGGGTTGGCCGGTGAGGAGGGAGTTGCAGTAGTCAAGGCGTGAGATAATCAGGGAGTGCACAAGTAGTTTAGCGGTGTCTGGGTAAGGAAGGTGCGTATTTTGGCGATATTGCGGAGGTGGAGCCTGCATGTGTTTGTCAGTGATTTGACATGAGGTTGGAAGGAGAGGTTAGAGTCCAGAATGACCCCAAGGACTTTGGCTTGCGGGGCGGGATTGATGGTGATGATGTTAGTAGTGATGGATAGGATGGGGGGGGGGGCGCGGGCAGGAGGGAAGACGAGAAGCTCGGTTTTGGAGAGGTTGAGTTTGAGGAAATGGAGCGACATCCAGTCAGAGATGTCGTTTAGGAGTTTAGCTATCCCACCATAGTCGGGGATACCGTAACGTTTGGTGATTTCTGAGGATCTGCAGTAAAAAGGATCTCCCTTCTTCTCCTTCATCCATTCTGTTGATCTGTGCTTGCTCTACCTCTATCATTATCTGACCAGTCATCAGATGTTTCCACTACTATGCTGGTCACTGTTCTCTTTGCTGAAAGGGAAGCTATACCTGAAGACCTGCAGTGAAAAGGATCTCCCTGCTTCTCCTTCATTCATTCTGTTGTTCTGTGCTTGCTCTACCTCTATCATTACCCCACCAGTCATCAGATGTTTCTACTACTATGCTGCTCTCTGTTCTCCTTGCTGGAGAGGAAGCTGTACCTGAAAACCTGCAGTGAAAGGATTTCCCTTCTTCTCCTTCATCCATTCTGTTGATCTGTGCTTGCTCTACCTCTATCATTACCCGATCAGACATCAGATGGTGCCGCTACTATGACTAGCTGCACTGTTCTCCTTGCTGGAAAAAGTAATCTGTACCTGAAGACCTGCGGTGAAAGGATCTCCCTGCTTCTGCTTCATCCATTCTGTTGATCTGTGCTTGCTCTACCTCTATCATTACCCCACCAGACATCAGATGTTGCCACTACTATGCTGCTCTCTGTTCTCCTTGCTGGATGGGAAGCTGTAGCTGCGGACCTGCAGAGCAAGGAATACCCTGCTTCTGCTTCATACTGTAGATCTGTGCTTTCTCTACCTCTATTATTATCTAACCAGTCATCAGATGTTGCCAATACTATGCTGCTCACTGTTCTCCTTGCTGGAGAGGAAGCTGTACTTGCGGATTTGCAGTGAAAGGATCTCCCTTCTTCTCCATCCATTCTGTTGATCTGTGCTTGCTCTAAAACCTCTATCATTACCCGACCAGTCATCAGATGTTGCGACAACTATGCTGCTCACTGTTCTCCTTGCTGGAGGGGAAGCTGGTACCTGAATACCTGTGGTGAATGGATCTCCCTTCTTCTCCTTCATCCATTCTGTTGATCTGTGCTTGCTCTACCTCTATCATTACCCCACCAGACATCAGATGTTGCCACTACTATGATGCTCACTGTTCTCCTTGCTGGAGAGGAAGCTGTATCTGAGGACCCACAGTGCGCGGATCTCCCTACTTCTAAATCATTCAATCTATGATTCTGTGCATCCTCCACCTTTCCTGCTACTTCTTGAAAAATTCCTCCATTAGTTATTAGGGGGTCAGTTCTGATATGCCCTACATCTACAAAGATGGTCCCCTGCACACAGAGATGCAGTGCAGAACAAGATGGCAAGTCAGTAATGGGGAAAAGATTAGTTTCAGGGAGACCACTGGCAATGATGGTGACTAGTCCTTTGTCCTCTCCTTGCCTTTATTGGGCACAGCTTTCAAAGTTGAGGTCTTACCAGTATGCCCCGGCTTAGTTTTTTTTAGATAAGGGTTCACGTAGCCCTTGTGATGGTCCCTCATGAAATATTTGAAGCTTGTTGGGGTTTTGTTTGTAGGACGGACTGTCCCTGTATCGGAGATATGAAAATGGCACCTTTCACCAGGAAGTCTCGCCAACCTTGAGAACTACTCCGAGCAGTTGAAGGACATGGTGACGTTTTATCTGGGCTGCAGCTTCTCTTTCGAAAGCACTGTGCAAAAACTTGGGTGTGCTGTGAGGAATGTGGAGCAGGGGTTAACGTGAGCATGTACAAGGTAAGAGGCGGGTGTGTTTAGGTGGGGCCCTATTTACTGATCACAGGTCCATCACGGCGTGTTAAATGTGAACGATGATGCCCTATTATTGAATTCCATCCCTTTAGTTTTTGTGAGAATAGTTGTTTCTCTTCTGCAGACAGCCATCCCCTGTCACCAGGTGGGCAACTTCTCCTGCAATCTAGTGGTCACCATGCGGCCGATTCCTCAGGAGAAACTGGACTTATCGGCCATGGCAACACAAACCTATGAAACAGTATCATGGGGCCCCCATCCATATCGGCTCATCAGGTCAGTGGCTTGAGATTTGGGTTTTAGTGGTTTTAAGTGGCTTTATACATACAGTATGTTCAATCCTTGCCTTTTATGGTCAGGGCTACCATATTTTTTTTAGTCAGCTAAATATGAAATTTTATTTTCACATTCGTAGTTCATCCTTAATACTGTGCTGAGAGGAGTCTTTTCCATGTTTATGGGACTCCAAATGATTCATCAAAACGGGGACCTCTTCCATATCAGATGAACCACTATGAGGGTTACAAAAGCAGAGAAGCAAAGCAAGCTTCCTTGTTGTGCTATCTCTTGAGCTAACCCCAAGTGCTCCCGGATTCCTTTGTCACGTATGAAATGGTTTTATTTGTTAAAACTAAGATTTTGTGTGTGCATTCCTATAAAAGTAAAAAAAAAAATATAACAAACAGGTAAAAAATGAGAGAGCAATCCCCTGCTTCTCCCAATTTTTCAAGCAGCGCTGAGTTTAAAAAAAAAAAATATTTTTTCATACGTGAAATAAGTGAAAACCCCCAAAAAGTCCAAAACAAAGTCTAAATAAAGTGCAGAAGAAACATTCAAATGCTCTGTGAAATTGATCCGGCGATCACGGCATAGGACTGCGAAACACCTTTCACTCTTGGCAGATACTACACGGATCACATTGCCTCTCATTTACATGATTGGCAGAAAGTGCCTAATGTAAATCCAAACATCATTGGGGAACTAATACATCGCTCCTTCACAGCTTTTAGAACAGTTCAAACACATGTAAAGAAAAAAAACAAGAGCAACTTCCAATAATGTAGTATGCTAAAAACACTCCTTTTTATTTTGTTAAATACCACTCACAATGCAAGAAAAAAAAGCAAAAAACTTCTGAGTCCGGTTTGTCACTTCTGGGTCTGGCTTTGACGTCACTCCTGGTTGCCGCGTAGCCGCTCCCCCTTTTTTGGGGGGTTTCCCTTGGTGCCCCTTCCCAGCTGTTTGTGGGCAATGGTTCTCCCAGCTAAAATGCCATGGTGGTGGTTTTAGGGGAACCCAATTATAGTGGCGGCAGCAGGGGCTTTGGGGGGTGTGCTGCTGGTGGTGGAGGGCAATCCAATTTTAGTGCCAGGGGCTGTGGTGGTGGTGGGGAATGCCCAGTTTTTATTGGTGGTGGCGGGGGGCTGGGGGGGGTGCTGGTGGTGGTAGTGGGCACCCAATTTTAGTGGCAGGAGCTGGGGTGGTGGTGGTGGTGGGGGGGAACGCCCAGTTTTAGTGGTGGTGGGCGGGGGCTGGGGCCGTGTGTGTTGGTGGTGGTCACCCAATTTTAGTGGCAGGGGCTTGGGGTGTTGGTGGTGGTGGTGGGGAACACCAGTTTTAGTGGTGGTGGTAGGGGCTGGGGGGTGTGCCTGCTGGTGGTGGTGGGCACCCAATTTTAGTGCCAGGGGGGCTGTGTGGTGGTAGGAAATGCCCAGTTTTATTGGTGGTGGCGGGGGCTGGGGATGTGGTGGTGGTGGGCACCCAATTTCTAGTGGCAGGGGCGGTAGTGGTGGTGGGAATGCCCAGTTTTAGTGGTGGTGGCGGGGGCTGGGGCGTGTGCTGGTCACCCAATTTTAGTGGCAGGGGCTGGGGTGTGGTGGGTGGGTGGGATATGCCCAGTTTAGTGGTTTGGCGGGGGCTGGCGGGGGGGGGGGTGCTGGTGATGGTGGGGGGCACACCCATTTTAGTGGCAGCTGCTGGTGTGTGGTGGGTGGTGATGATGGGAAACGCCCAGTTTTAGTGTGTTGGCGGGGGCTAGGGGGTGTGCTGGTGGTGGTGGGGGGCACCCAATTTTAGTGGCCGAAGCAGGGGCCAGAGTGCTGGTGGTGGTGGGGAGTGCCCAATTTTAGAGTTAGGCAGCACAAGAGGTAAATACACCACTGGAAAAGCCTGTCCTCTGCCAGCATCCTATACAGAAGGACTCTTGCTCAGAGTGTGGAAGCAGTGGTCTCAATGAAGCAGAGGTCCCACACACCTCAAGCTGGGTCAGTACCTATTAGCTCTGTGATCAGCAGAAGCTCCTCAATCACCACTGATTGCTGAGCTCTAGCTCTGTATTAGCAAAGGGGGGGGACCTCACTTTTTTGGACCTCGCCAGACGAGACTATGCACTGCTTCTCACCAGAGATGCTGACAGAGAACAGACTTTTGTTATGATGCTCCAGGAATTTAACCCCATTGGTGCCGACGCCGCGCCTCCTGCCCCTCTAAGGGTTTCAGAAGCCTGGAGGCAGGGCGGGGTTTTAGGGTCACACTAGCGGTCACATATTCGGGAAAGGATCGAAAGAGGAGGGGTGGGATCGGGACCTTTTCATGAGTACTGGACACATGTTTGCTAGGAGCGCGCAGGGCACTCGCTCCTCAGCACATATGTTTTTTTCTTAATTGCACGCAAATGTGCGGCGGCTCGGTGTCAGCGTCAAGCCCAGACGCTGGGAGGCTGCACATTTGCGCGCGGCCGGCGCCAAGAGGTTAAACTGAAAGTTCAGTTGGGCTTTTTAGTATCTGATGGTCGGATAACTCTGGTAGCTATATACTTCTTCATAAAAAAAAAAAAAAAATATTTTATTAACCTAAATATAATAACTTGACCCCTAGAGGTTCAGCTTTTTGTAACAAACTCCTTTCGGATACACTGAAGCTGGCCAAAAACGTTAATTATTTTTTTTTAATTCAATCAGTGGGTTGAACAAAAAAAAGTGAACCAATCGACTATGAGATGGGGGAATCTTTCCCGCTGAGCTATTGTGTTCTGGTGGCGAGGAGACTTCCCCACCATCAGAATACATTGGTCAGTGCTATCGGCTACAGCTGGCGGCACTAATCATTCGGAAAAAACCTGATAGTCTGGTTATGCAGAAGTTGATTGGTAGATCGACTTCTGCACAACCAGCCTGCCCATACATGGACCGAAATTTGTCTGGTTCAGCAGGGAATTTCGACCTATGTACTGTATGGCTGACCTAAGCCGTATTATTATAGGAATTAATAGTAACTGTGCAGCTGCAAACTGTCGTATTTCCCCGTACCTCTGACTCACAATGGGTGCATGCCCAAAAACGCATTTCTGCTCATCTGTGCAGCTTATGAAGTAGAAATTAATGGGCTGCACACTGATGCCTTCACTGAAGTAGAACCAGTTTTAATATAATAAAGGATTCCTAACATGTAATCTCCCGATGACGTAATTTATGACAAAACGCGTAGAGCAGAGCTGATATTTGTGACGTCACCACGCATGCACGATTGTGATTGGAATTCTAGGAATTGTAGTTCCCTGGATGCCGATCATTGTATACAGCGTTACTCTAGTGAAGTTTGTGTGTGGGTGGTGGAGGAACGGTGCATCACAGATTTCTATTGGGTGGCCATACATGTACAAGCGTGTTTTGATTTCTCATACATTGAGAGTCATATGTGCTCTGGTACTATCATACATGTGTTGTTTGCAGGGAACATACAATGTTACACATATGAAGCTGGTCTGGATTCATGAAGACCTTCTGTGTGAATACAAGAACCAAGTCTATTGGTGTAAGGGACCGCCCGGCGGTACTACTAGCACTCCACTGAATAGGCGTCCCCAGCGCACGGAGTCTAAGTCCCAGGTGTGCTTGTTCACCAGGGCCCCTGATGGTGGGGATGGACTTGGAGCTCCCTGAGACCAGGTCGTGACTACCGGGTGCGTCCGTCAGTGGTAGTAGTATGCGCAAGGGGCTCCCACGGGGAAGAGTCTGATGTGAGGAGGTCAGAAGACCCCACTGCACGGGATGGATGGATGGATGATGAGCAGGGTCAGACGGGCCGGGTCGGTAACAGAGAGGGCGGCAAGGTACAAGGCAGCGGGCATAGAATGGTCGGGTCACACGCCAGGTCAGCAACAGCAGGTCAAATCCAATAGGGGGCATTCAGGAGAGAGGTCAGGCAAAGCAAGGGTCAGAACAGGCGAAAACAGCAAGGTCAGGTTCAATCCGGGTCAATAACTTACAGGGTACAGGTTCACAGGATTCAGAATGCAGGAAAGACCAGAAGGCACTGAATGACAGCTCAGGGTCGTTTAAATATCCCGCCCTGCGCTGCCATTGGTGCCCAGCGGGCGGCCGCGGGCTTCTACTGCGCTAATGCGCGAAAAAAATCTCGAACGCCGCGGCCGGCCCGGAACCAGTGCTCGAGTCCCTGCGCCGGGCGGCATACTGCGCCTGCGCCGGGACCAACGCGGCGGGGATCGAGGGGATCCCTGACATTGCCCCCCCCCTACGGGCAACCTCCGGATGCCCATCCGATCTCTCCACCACGGGTGATCGCGAAAGAACCTCCGGACAAGTCTGGGTGCATGGACATTATGGGCTGGTTCCCAAGAATTGTCCTCAGGACCATAGCCCTTCCATTTGATAAGGAATTGGGTCTGGCCTCCCCTCCTTCGACACTTCAGGATTGTTTCAACCTCAAATTCCTCTTCTCCTTCGACCGTTACCGCTTCCGGGGGTCTAGATTCCCGGTCAGGGAAGGCATCTGGGACCACAGGCTTCAGAAGGGACACATGAAAGACCGGGTGGATCTTGAGCGTGTCAGGGAGGGCGAGTTCATAGGCTACTTCGTTAACCATCCGTTTAATGCAGAAGGGGCCTATAAATTTGGGTCCCAATTTCTTCGATGGGCAAAGCATCTTTAGATTGGACGTCGCCAGCCAAACCTTCTCCCCAGGCCGCAATACCAGATCTCCTCTCCGTTTCCTGTTGAATGCTTTCCTGTAGTCTTCCTGGGCCCGACTGATGGCCACTTGAAGCTTCTCATTGTTCGCAGCGAAGAACGTTACCACATCTTGTGTTGCTGGTACTGGGCATTCCGACACCAAATCCGGGAGGAAGACTGGGTGAAAGCCATAGTTGGCGAAGAACGGGGACTGCCCTGTTGCTGAGTGGCGGGCGTTGTTATACGCAAATTCCGCTAAA